ATGGTTAGAATAGAGCTAAATGGGAGTCCTTCTGAAAGGAAAGCAATCAGATTAAAGAAGTTGTAAAGAGAGGATCACAGTCTTAATTTGTGTATAATGTGAAGGTTATAAGACAGACTGATTGGGCTGGCTGGGGAGAAAAGGCCAGATATTAAGACTTGAATCAATAATTAAAACATTCCAATAAATTACAGGGCAGACCCAGATCTTTTATTGTCACAATAGTAGGTGGGAAGGGGGAGATGTGCTCAAATTAGTTATAAATAGGATTTATTTTTTTTTAAAAAAAGATCCCAAACAGAAAGGACACAAACACCATAGAGGATCTCTTGGATGAAATATCAAAGGAAAAAAGATCCTCCTTTGGCACGGAAGAATTGGAGTGATGAGGACCCTGGAAACAAGGCTGGATCAGTCTTTGAAAACAGCCTGGTGGCCATGAGGACGTTCATCATGCATAATGTGTCTGCGGACATGAATACGCCGGACGCGGTGCTCCCGCCCATCTTCATCATCACCAGCACGGAGGGGGCCTCCGCCTCCACCCGCAACTCCCCCAGTGGCCTCCAGGAGGGCCTTGTCTGGCACCCGTGGTGTCTCATAGATCAGGATGTTCAGCGTTTCTTCAAAGATCCGGGCTTCGGGAAACTCGACCTGTACACCCAGGGAAAGCAGGAGGAAGCAAGTCTAAGTGTCACTATGGGATCCCTGTTCATACTGGAAGCAATGCAATTAACCTCTATACCAGTGGCTGAAGAACACAAACTAACTACCACCTTGTATCCTTCCTGTGAGTTTAAGCATCTTGTTAGCTATTGCAAGAACAGAATTCTAGACTAGACAGACTTCTAGTTTAGTCTTCTTACATCAGGGGTATTTGTTAAACTGCCGGCCCGTGGGCCGGTTTCATCATACCGGAGCCGCGCCCACCCCATTGCCGGCAATGGCAAAAAAGCTCCGATACGTTGCGCGACGTCATGTGACGTTGCGAGTTTGACATGTCTGTCTTACATGTTTAATTGGATTTAGGAAAGGAAAATATATAGTATTTTCTTTAAGATCATAGCTTACATTTCCATATGAAGATACCAAAACATACAGGTAGTCCTCAACTTACAACTCTAATTGAGCTGGAATTACAGTTGTAAGTCATGCTGATTAGGCGTGTCATCCGATGACTGACTCAGTTTTATGAGTTTTTTTTTCTATAGTGGTTGTTCAATGAATCACCAAAGTTGTTAAGCAAACCCATTATCCGCAGTGGGCACTGGAAGTAAACACCATTTTTTGGGCAAAAGATGTAAATTGTGGTCATGTGACCACAGAATGCTGCAAAGGGCCATAAATGGGGACCTATTGCTGAGTGTCTAAAATGCAACCTTCTTATGACTGGGTGGGGGGAGAGAGCAGCTGATAAAACTTTGAATATGGGTCATAAGTACCTTGGGGGGGGGCTCCTGTAACTCTGGTCACCAAACGACCAGTCGCAAGTTAAGGACTACCTGTATTAGAAAATCAAAGCTTTGTGTTTGGAGTCCTGAGGACTAGCCACACCTTACCTTGGTCTGCTTCTTTTCGGTGGCATAGACGATGGAAGTACAGCAAACCTCCGCAATCTTGCGGCCCTGCCCATAAAATGACCAACAGCAGATCTCATCCCCAAGAACGTCCTTGATGAAAAGCACCCGTCCATTGAACCTCAGAGCTAGTTTGTCAAACAGTTCAATATTCTTCAGTAAGTTGTCATCAGAGTTACTTTGGGGGGTCGGGGGTGAGGGAGAAAGAAGAAAATAGTGGTGTGGAAACTACTAAAGAAATGGGACTAGTGGATGACCTGGGAGATAGCACAAATCCCAAGGTCATCCTATTCTGACAACAGGGCCATAGCTTACCTGGTATAGGAATATTTGTTATTACTTCTGTTGTGCAGTAACTTCACCACAGGCTAAAAGGAAGGCGAAAGATATAAATGAATTGAAGACCACCACCCCTCTTGTTCAGAGAGACAGCAAAGCAAACTAGACCTTCCCTCATAATGGGGATGGAGAGACTGCATTTACAAGAACTCTCACTTGCCTTGATACCTTGATATATGAGGACATACATCCAAGACACTTAAGTTTCCCTGATCTCTATGATTTCCTGAAGTAAAACCTGTGTGACTTCTCGGCCTCCTTACCTTTGAACATCTTGAGATGATCTGCTGCTCTTCCTTGGGAGATGTCACCATGGGGATATGGCAGAGAGGGTCATAGGCTTCGCTTTTTTGCTAGGAAGGAGAGAAAGAGAAATATTTTTCTAGACTTTCTATTCATTGTTTACAGATTTATTAAAACAGAGTCATACATCATGCTAAAACATGATTTGTGAAATCATGATTTGTTGAATAAACTATAATTGACTGGGTCCACAAAAGCTGTTAAGCCATAAACCATGGTTTAGGAAACATAACCACTGTGTTTGCACAAGAGCTAAGGCTCAATTAAAGATATTGTACCACAGTGCAGAGTAATGTGTAAACCAGTGTTTTTTTCAAACCTGGCAACTTTAAGATGACTGGACTTCATTTCCCAGAATTCAGCTAACATTCAGTCTGGGGATTTCTGGAAGCTGAGGTCCATACATCCTACAGTTGCCAAATTTGAAAAACACTGATGTAAACCAAGTCAGTATATGCTCAAGGAAGATTTAGAATTAAAATTAAAGGCATAGAGCAGGCGTGTGAAACCTTTTGGCTTGCCTGATCTGCATTAAGTGAAGAGGAATTGCCTTGGGTCACGTATAAAATATATAACATATTTAATGTATATAAATGGACATAATCTTAAATGTTTATGATTTTGTTGGGCTGCATTACTAGCTGTCCGGGGCTGCACGTGGCTTATGGGCTGGACCCACCTGGCACAGAGTCTAACAGAAATTTTAAAAGGGAACTGCAAGTAACACTTGAAAATCATATGCTTTTTTAATATGGTCAGTTCTCCTTCATAGATACTCAATATAAACATATACAAAAATGGGAGAAAATATGTAATATGAATGTATGTATCCATGCTTTTCATGTAATAGCTGGGCAATTATTTCTTTTTTTTTCTTGGTGATGCAATTTAACCAAAACAGAAAAGAATATGGAAGGGAAAGGATGATTAAAGAATCAATTTCTACACCTTTACATAACTCTTAAAATGTCCCCCTTTACCCTTTTTACATTTCAACCACAATTTTATGAAGTAGGTAAGGTTGAGACAATAGTATTAACTCAAAGTCAATCAAGCTGCTTCCATGACTAAAGGGGGAATCACTTAGCTAGCACCTTCCTCACTATAGCGGCCCAGTTCTCGGGCTGAGAGAAGACTGGCTCAAAGTTACCAGTGAGCTTCTAGGACTGAGGATGGACTAGAAGTTGGGTCTCCAACTTGTAGTCCAACAACGGAACCACCGCATCACCCTCCGTATACTTGCAAATGAGATGGCTGGATGATGCTAGAAGACATCGTAAAACACTATTGAGGATAGGACCCAGGTGAAAGCATGTTCTGGTAAAACAGAGGAACCATTGGTCCTTCTAAGTGGACAGGACAGATCCTGCTTTCCTCTCTTGTCATCTCTTCTAAGGAGTAGAAGTCAAGGAAGTCATTGGGCCTTCTAATTTCTCAGCCCAGCCACCCTCACCTGTAGTGCAAGCTGGCAGTCCTCAACCAAACCTTGGATCAGATAGTACCGGGCTTCACACAACACTTCCTCCAGCTCCCGCTGGGACTCTGGAAGAGATACTGAACCGTCTCGCAAATAATTCAGAATAGTTCCAAAATGGCGGCCACTTCGGTCAATCAAGATCCAACCTGGAAAAGCAGTTAATTTTAGTCCCTGAGTTAAAGATGATGTAGACCAGGATTTCCCAATCTTGGCAACTTTAAAATATATGGACTTCAACTCCCAGAATTCAACTGCCAGCCATGCAGGCTGGGGAATTCTAGGCACTGAAGTCCACAGGTCTTCAAAGTTGTCAAGGCTGAAAAACCCTTCGGTAGACTGAAGGATCTACATAGGCAACCTCCCCATTCTAAAATGGCTTAGAGGAGAAGATACAGTTATTATTTGCATTGATACATCAACATTGTGTTGATGGTAGAAGAATAAGTTCTTGTTTAAATTAATTCTAGGCTTACAATGTACTTTATCTCAAAAAAGAAAATGTAACAAACCTAGACCTAATAGAATCTTTTTTTATGAATCTACTTTGGATGTTATGCCTTGGCAAGTGGCAGTATTCAGTTGACCTTGTCTGGCCTTGGATGGGATATCTCCAGGAAATATCAAGCATGGCTGGATGGGGAATTCTGGGAGTTGAAGTCCACACCTCTTAAAAGCTGCTAAGGTTAGAAAAGCCTGCTCTAAAATAAGTCACCCTGAAATTGTCCAAGGGCTCCCTGGGAACCACGCTGGATGAATCCCCAATGCAATCCCCATCATGTAGAAAATCCAATTCCCAGCTGTGGGAGAGATGGGGCAAGCTGAGGCTCATACCTTCACTATCTGTGAGGACTTCCATTCGGCCACTGAACATGGCCTTGAGCATCGTATCTTGCTTGGTCAGGGTCTGCACGGTGGTGTAATGCAGAGATCCTCCCACATTCAGCTTGACGTACTTGCTGCTGGGATTCAGGGGCTTGAAGTCCAAAGTCATCTCGGTTACCCCACCCCTGCCATCCCGTCGGTGCTGGGTTGGGACCAGCGGAGCACAACTCTCCAGGGGTGGGGATGGATCTGTCGTGGCCTCAGCTGACATAGCCACCTACAGAAAAGAGAGAAGACAGTTCGCTTTTGTTTTTAGTTTGTTTTTAAAGAAGAAACAAGATGCAGCCTTGGAAATCCTCCCGGCAAATTTATTTCCAATGTTATTTGGCTAAATGTCTCCCTGCAGCTCTGCCATTATCACCTCCCCCCTTTATATGAGTCCTCTGCAAGAAAAAACTGGGTTCATTCCATAAGACGGGCTTTTTGTCGCCGATCGAGCAAGATGCCTTCCAGACTGAGGAAGACAAGGAAACTAAGGGGGCATGTCAGTCATGGCCATGGACGTATTGGTAAACACAGGAAACATCCTGGAGGCCGTGGAAATGCTGGTGGTATGCACCACCATAGGATTAACTTTGACAAATACCACCCTGGTTATTTTGGAAAGGTTGGTATGAGACATTACCACTTGAAAAAGAACCAGCACTTCTGCCCGACAGTGAATCTGGATAAGCTCTGGACGTTTGTTAGTGAGCAGACAAGGTTGAATTATGCTAAAAACCCAGCAGGACTAGCTCCAGTTATTGATGTTGTACGCTCTGGGTATTACAAAGTCCTGGGCAAAGGAAAGCTGCCCAAGCAGCCTGTCATTGTGAAAGCAAAATTCTTCAGCCGAAGAGCAGAAGAGAAAATAAAGGAAGTTGGAGGAGCCTGTGTCCTAGTGGCATAAATGTTTATATATGTATGCATACTAAATCACAGGCATGAATAAAGTATTTCCATAAGACAGGGACCAGTAATGGATACCATTCAAGCTTACAGGATCTGCTTTATACTTTACTAACTGGAACCAAATAGGAAGTACAGGCAGTCCTCAACGTATGACCACAATTGAGCCCAAAATTTCTGTTGCTAAGTGAGACATTTGTTAAGTGAATTTTGCCCACTTTTATGACCTGTCTTGCCACAGTTGTTAAGTGAATCTGGATTCCCCTTTGACTTTGCTTGTGAGAAGGTTTCAAAAGGTGATCACATGACCTGGGACATGGCAATGGTCATAAGTATGAGTCAGTTGCCAAGCATTTGAATTCTGATCACATGACCACGGGGGATGCTGTAATGGTCGTGGGAAAAGTCACTTTTTCAGTGATGTTGTAACTTTGAATGGTCACTAAATGAACTGTTTTAAGTCAAGGACTACCTGTAATCCCTTTTGCTAAGAGTTCACAAACAGAATGATTGAGGTGACACATCATACTAAGCCATATAGTGGCTTGTTTGTTTGACATTGGGTAAAAACCAACCAAGTGATGTTTAGTCACCATATCTAAACTCGAGGCATAGCAGAAACGTATTAGATCAGACATAAACTCAAACAAGGAACTAGCGATCAGTACCAGAACCTACCCCACCAACCTTTTCACACACAAATCCCATTCTCGCTCTCCGTCCCCTGGCGCTCCCCCCCCTCCCCCAGGAACCTAACTGAAAGGAACTGTCTGTAGGTTTCAAGAGTGATTGAGCCACCTTCCCACCCAAAGCTCTTGCCCTCCAGAGATGCTGGCACTGAATGGCCGCAATCCATCCAGCTACAGTGGTTGTCAGACATTACAGGAGTTGGTCCAGAGAGCACCAATCTGGGGGGAGGGGGGAGAGATATTAGAAGATGGGGTCTACCTAGAGATCTAGCACATCCCAACCTACCTTCTGCCTTCTGCGTGACACTCCACACACCTGGCACTGCTAATGGGAAACAATGGGTTTGCCTTCAACTTTGCGCTAACTGCTCTTTGCCCCAACAAACATCCCTGCCCAGCGGGATCATTTCCTTGTACTGGCTGGCTCCACCCTGCTTGCCCCAGCCTAGCCCTTGTGCTCTCTAGATGTTACTGTATTCATTTTCATGCCCGCCCAACCACCAGGCAGGCTGTCTTTATTCACTCTTGCATTATTTATTATTACTATTATTGACTTTCTTGAGTAACTGCTCTGGGATCTTGGGGTGTGCCAAGACTGTGAGAAAAGCAGAATATTAATATATAACGGAAATAAAATGACAGCATCGGCTATGAACAAGTCCATTTTCTAAGTCTAACCCTATTTAAGTCCTCTGAGTTCCAGGATCTCCCTTTCGCCAACCCTTTTCCCCTGCACCCAACAGCTTGCTTCTCCTATGGGGGCTTCCTTTACACTCAGGGCGACAAATCTTGAGTGCAATTCCCGGGCTATCGCTAGATGGCAGCAAACGATTGAGATTCTTTATGCTCCTTTGCTGCCATCTAGTGGTAGTTCTGGTTTCTGCAGCCCAGATCCGGCATCCTTTTCCTGCCGCACTCCGACCTCGCCCATTTACCACCTGATCCACTCACCTCCCCCAGGGCAGCAGGGTGGGCTCAAGCCAGGCCCCTCCCCTTCAGCCCCGCCTGGACTCCGGGGCAGCAGCTCCGCAGGATGCCTCAACACAAGAGAAAGAGGAACGGAGGGCGGCAGTGCGCATGCTCACAAACGCCCCGTCGCGCGCCCCCCCCCGTGGAACAGTTACTCTATACATCCGGGTACCGCCTGCTTAAACGAGACAGAGGCGGATTGACTTTCTTTCCTTCACCCTGCTGCGCCTGCGCAGAAAGTGAAATCGCGTCCGCAGTGAAGGGTCAAAAGAAACGGAGTGATGGAAGACTAAGTCAATCGAGGTTGCTGGGGAGCGCATGCGCATGCGGCAGCTATGAGTCGCGCGTGGTATTAGCGCTATCGGAGGGGCGGGTGGGAACCTCTCGCCCCCCCCCTTCTGCGCATCCGGGCGGTGTCTTCACCGTCTCTTTCATTAGGCAACATGGAGGGGAGGGTCTAAATGTGACCCTGGACTGATTTTATAGGTTGTGTGACGCGAAAAGTCAACATTTGGGTAATTGTACTTGCGCACGTAATTTTTGGTTTTTCCTTCTGACTTTGGTAAATTATGGGTGGGGCCACGCAGGACGAATTTAATGACCCCCCCTCCCAGATTTAATTTAATCTGTGGAAGTCATTACATTTTGGGATGCCTACACATCTGTATTTTGTGTGATCCAGATTACGAGTATATTAGTTAATACAAATATTGTGAAACCAATTATTTAGGCTGAAGGCAAGAGTTTGCTGTAAAACTTGAGCTCAAGAGAATACTCTTGGAAACCGTTCCCAGGCCTCCTGTATTATTTTTGTGCTACATAAAAAAATATTGTGGCATCTTAAAGATGTTATTTCTGTTGATTTACAGCCTGCTACATGTGTGAAGTATTATGACATTTGTATATCCTTTTTAAGATGTCACAAGACTTGTGATTGTATATAATATGGCACAGGGAGCCCTCGACATATGATCACAATTGAGAAGTTTCCATTGCTAAGTAAGGTGGTTGTTAAGTGAATCACTGCAATTGTTAAGTGAATCTGACTTCCCCCATTGACTTTGCTTGTCAATTAGAAACAGCAGGGCATGATGCTGGAAAGTGATTAAAGTAATCCATTTTCCTCTAAAAAGGCATGCCCACCCAGCCTTTTGGCTTGCATGGGCCACACTGAGTGAAGAGGCATTGTTTTGGGCCACATACAAAATAAAGTTAATGTATATAGTGTATATAGGTATGTGTATAAATAATGTTAAAAGTTTACAATCTTGTGGAACCGCATTACTAACTAACTAGGGCTGCATGTTGCCCACTGATTGGACGCTCCTGCTCTAAAGACGGATGTTTTGGGGGATTATAGAACAAATCTTTTAGAACGGGTCCCCAATCCCCAATCCCCGGTCCATGGACCAGTACCAGGCCATGGCATGCCAGCAACCAGTCCACACAAACAAGAAAAGCCGCATTTGCAAGATGCAGGCAGCACATAAAACCACATACTCTCCGGTCAGTGAAAAACCTCTCCACGGAACCGGTCCCTGGTGCCCAAAAGGTTGGGGACCTCTGTTTTAGGAAACAAGATATAGGATGCAGGAGAAATGGGGTGACAGAAAAAAAAAACCCCACATGTCCTCCTCTACCCCTTTAGGTTGCATTCTCAGTAGGTTATAAGTAAAAAATATATAGCCTGAACAGAAAAATGTTTCCTTGTTCCTGATTTCATAGATGAGCAATATGCAGGAGGAACATTTACATAAATGTTACTGGATTGGGTCAAAGGCTAACACTGTTTCTGCAGCAAACAAGAAAATGCTTCCTCAGAGTAGGAATAATAAGCTTTCTTCCTTCCCCAACAGCTGACCTAGTACCTCTACTAAGAACATTCGTAGATGCCATTATAAATTAATGATTCCTACTTCTTCAGCATCCCTTTTCCTTATTTCCCAACTGATTGATACTTTAGTTTAGCGGAATGAGGTCATCAATGGAAGGGCTTGATTGGTGGAAAGAAACAAAGAGAACTTGGTTGGAAAATACCACTTTAAAGAAACTGATGACCAGACGAAAAACAATGGTTGGGACACGTCCGGTACCAAATTGACTACCACAAATATTCATGTCACGCAGAAATTAAATTTCAAGTCTAGAGCATCTCACTGGATCACAGAGGTATGCTTTATATCAAGAGCAATAGCACGCACCTGTTTCCCTTTGGGCGTTACCATATTTAGAGCAGAAACACTAAGAGCTACTATAATTCAAATCTCAGAAATATGTATCCCTACCTATTTCATTACAACCCTGCCAACCATGTTTTGCGAACTTGGAAGGGGGGCTGGTAGAAATATGTAATCAAGAATCACAAATGTTCAATACATTGAGACCACTTGGTATTCCTTTGCTTTAGCACAGAGGTCCCCAACCTTTTGGGCACCAGAGACCAGTTCCGTGGAGAAAGGTTTTTCCGTGCACCAGAGGGTGCGTGGTTTGGTGTCCTGCAGATGGGGCTTTGCTTATTTGTGCAGACCGGTTGCTGGCATGCCGTGGCCCAGTACTGGTCCATGGACCAGGGATTGGGGACCCCTGCTTTAGCAGGTTAATAAACACCACACTTGCATTTTAAGAGACTAAGTATTTCTGAGAATACAAATGTTTTGTGTCTGTTCTCATACGTTACCCCTAATACTTTTGTCAAGATTCTTTCAGATTAGATTAATAAAGCCTCACTCGATTTTTCATGACTGTGCTCTGCAAAGATTTTAAACAGGAAGCATCATTTGTGTCTAGAATTTACTGGTGTGTAGAATTGGCTTCATGTCCAGTTGTCTTTGAAAAGCACGTTTGGGACAACCATGACCTGGATGACTGAGAATCTCCATAGACATTTGGCTTCATAGGGGTTATTAGTCGACTTGTTTGAAAATAATTTGTACTGATTTCTGTGAGTCCAAAGCACACCACCCCATCCATAGCAGAAAATCCAGGAGCAACTGTTATCCTTGACCATTAGCAATGAGGGGACATATTCCAAACTTTATCATCTACAAAACCTAGTTAGCTGAGCCAATGCTTTTTAAAACACAAAATAATCATTGTAAGTTGGTTACACCCAAATTTTAATATAGGATGGAAAATGTATACAGACCTATAGAATAATATTCCAAATTAGCTTAAAATCAGAACTTTTGACAAACACCAAGGAAACTGAAAAAATGGTTTGAGACAATACTGTCCAAAATTTAAAAACTAATAATTTCCCCTTATTCTTTACCAAAAATACTCCCATCTCCTTTACGCTGATACCTTGATAGTTGTGAATGCTGGATTGTTTACAGTGAAGGGCCAAGGATGAGCAATGTAATCATTAAAAATATTGTTCTGAGATTTTAACTTCTAATATAGCAATACCAATAGATGCAATACAGCCTTCTTGAAGTGGTTTAGAGTCAGCATATTACACCCCCCCCAAACAATCTGGATCCTCATATTACTGACCTCGGAAGGCTGAGTACCTGTATTAGTTAAATAAAAATGAACACATGAGCAATGTTAATTAAAAAATCCTGGTATGGGAGATGCTGTTTCAGTGCCAGTCCAGTTACTGAAGTTTTCGAAGACATTTGAAGATATTTGCCTGCACAATTGGAAAAGAGCAATGTTAAGCCTTTATTGATCACAGATACAGAATATAGCTACTATCTGAACTACTCCATCAGTAGGCATTGCCCAATTACCTCTATGATTAAAACTTCGTTTAGCAATCCAAAAGTGCTTTCTCAAAAGAGAATTCAGGGGTGGTGAATTCTCCACCATTCAGTTAGAACTGAAGAAGCTTCTTGGATGAAAAGCGAAATGTCTTCAAGGGAAAACAAAAGCCCAGGTGCCTTTTGAAAAAGCACTTATACAAAACCTCTGCTTCTGGATTTGTGCTTGAAAGGAAAAATAAAATAAAACTTTGACTTCAGCTTTTGTTGATTAGACAAGTTTGTTGTTATAGAAATGGCTATTAATTATGCAAAAATGCAAGTTGAAGCTTTAATGTTATTATTCTATTGCAATGAAGAGTCAGAAGCTAATGCTTTTTTCCATTCTCCTATATTTCTTTCTCCCCTCCTTTCCCAATGCTTTCATTTATATACTTTGATAAGTTTAATAAAACTTATGTGTATAAAACAGGGACAGTTAAAAAAACCCATTCTCCCTTAACTTATCTGAAAGATGCCAGTTTTGTTTCTCATGAAAGCTTTCCTACTATAGTCTGGATCCAGATGCTTCTACTTTTGAGAATAAATCCATCAGTGGATCAGTGGATCAAATTAGTGATGACTAACAGGTTTAATTAATTTCAGCAGGTCTGCTCTAAGCATGACCAATTCTAGGTACACAACTGTCTCTCTTTTTGTGCCCTGTTCCTTTTTATTTTGTTTTTATCCTTTATTCCCTTTTTAATGTAAGTTAAATAAAGCTGCTACATCAAACATAGCCTCATTGCTTGCACCCAGGACAATCCCAAATAAGCCAGCATTTGTACACCGTGTGCACAATTATTAGGCAAGCGAGTATTTTGACCATATCATCATTTTCATGCATATTTTCCACCTCCAAGCTATATATGTATAGCTTGGAGACTTGGTTTTACTCTAGCATCTAATTTCTCCTGGAGTTAACTATGCCTTATGTTGAAATATAATGGAAAGCTATTCTAATTTTAGATTCCTGGTTTGCTAATGTGAGCAACCAAGGGAAATGAAATGTCTTCAGTAACTCAGCACATAATGGTTTCATAATCCATCAAATGCTAAACTGGGAATTATGCCTTATTAGAACATGCAAATTCAGCCATTGTAGTATCAACGGCAGTCAAAAACTATACCTTAATTAAGAATATGTTTAATTATTAACCTAGTCACTATAAGTGGCAAGGAATTCTATCTAGGAAGGTAGAATAAGAATAAATCACTTAGTGTCCCCTCTGTGGCTGGTAAGCAAGGCGAACTCTGCTTTTAGTAAAAAGGAAACACAGGAGAGTCTTTCCAGAGCATTTAGACTTGGAAGTGCTAGATCATTTCTCATTAAAAAGTAAAATTATTATTTTGTTAACAAATTATGAAGCCAGCAACTTTTCTGGCTTTGAGTAAAAAACTATATACTCATTTGTAGTCATTTGGTATCACTGATTACCTTTTTGTGTGTGTGTGCTAAAACTTTAATTTTTAACTCATAAATGTAGATGCTGGATAAGTATTAGGATTCTATAATAGAACAGAATATTCATATATTCAATATCCTATTTTTAGGGGAAATTCACCCCAAAGGTGAATTTCCAGATGTTGAGTGACAACTTCCATCATTCGCTGCCACCAGCCACACCACCAGTTGGAATTCTGATCCAATTAAATTACATAATTTAGACAATCTTTCTCTGAACTGAGTAGAAACTTGGCTAAATGCATACCTCCATAAAAGAGTCTACTTGTTTAGCTGTAATACCATGGATTTTCTCAAGATCCTGTACCTATAAAAAGAAAAAAACACACAATACAATAAGGTATAGCCCAGGGGTAGGCAACCTTGGCTTTTTTATGACTCGTGGACTTCAACTCCCAGAATTCCTGAGCCAGCATAGCTGGCTCAGGAATTCTGGGAATTGAAGTCCACGAGTCATAAAAGAACCAAGGTTGCCTACCCCTGGTATAGCCCATCATTTAGAACAGCACTGGCAATCCACAGCCTTATTAACGATGATCCTCAGAACTCTCCTTAATTACAGTAGACCTCAATTGAGCCCAATTTTTCCATCATTAAATGAGTTTTGCCTCATTTTACAACTTTTTTTTTGCCAGAGTTCTTAACCAAATCACTGCAGTTGTTGAGAGAATTATGAAGCTGTTAAGTGAATCTGACTTTCCCCCATTGACTTTGCTTGTTGGCAACCAGCTGGGAAGTTTACAAGTGGTGATCACATGGACCCCGGGACAGTGCAATTATCAATACGTGCCCAGTTGCCAAGGGCCCGAATTTTGATCACATGACCATAAGGATGCTGCAACCGTTGTAAGGGTGAAAAACCTGTGATAAAGTCATTTTAAAAATGCCATTATAACTTCAAGCAGTCACGAAACGAATGGTTGCAAGTCGAGGACTACCTGTATAGTGCCACCAAAATAACCAAGTTGTGGTAGCAAAATGGTCGAGTCGTGGTGGCAAAATTGTTTTTGCTTGTTGCAGTACAATGTCAATAAAAGGATATAAATTATACTAGAGGTTAACATTTATACCACCTATCTTCAGTGCAACACTTCCATGACCTTGATGGTTTTCAAAGGCAAGGAAGAGGAGGTAATGGTGGTGATGATGGTGGTGGAATTGGGAAGGATTACAAAACACTCAGATTTGCAAATGAAGATTGCAAACATTTGAAAGTAACCAACAATGGTACTATTATTATTGGGGCACAAAGTACAATACCATGAGGACTTTGAATCTGGAATGACTAAATTTGGAACAATTTACAACAGCCTAATTACAAACAATAGCTCTGTTGGGCATCGCATACTTAAGCAGATGTCACTTTAGGATTCCCCAAGGCCCCAAACAAAGTAAACTGGCACACAATGGCTGCACATGATTAATGGAATTGGATTGTTATTACCTAAAAAAGTGTGGAGCTCAGATGATAAAGAGTTGCTTGTCTAGGGTGAGAAATTATGGGGTCAGCAATATGTCTCAAATAAACTCTGCCCTCTGAGACCACCAACCTTCTCAAAAGATCCATAATTTTCTCTCCAGCTCACAATGAGCTGGGCCTTTTTCTTGCCAATGAGGTGCAGGCCCATAAGATCCTTCACGGAACCTGAGTTCATGAGGGACAGAATATTAGCTTTGCTAAGAGCCAGCTGATCTGGATGGATCTTCATCTCAAACTCAATGGGAACCTTGTTTTCAGAGTCGAAATCTAAAATCTGAAAAACAAACATGGAAACAGAGTGACCAATGAGGCTGCCTTTTAAAACCAAACCCTTCTTACCTAGCCATTTATCAACTCCCACCTCCTATTAATATAGACAAGAATCATGGCAAAGAAATGATTGTCTAAGCCAGGGGTCTGCAACCTTGACAACTTTAAGACTTGTGGACTTCAGCTCCCAGAATTCCTCAGCCAGCTATACTGGCTGAGGAATTCTGGGAGCTGAAGTCCACAAGTCTTAAAGTTGTCCAGGTTGCAGACCCCTGGTCTAAGCTACGAGATCTGCTCAGAGATTTCCCCCAAAAGACCTATTATCCACTGGTCCAATCAATTTGCCTACACCAGAATACACTGTGGAATCAAACGCAGGACCTCAAAACCAATAAGGCTCACGAAGTAATTGTTTATTCCGTGTGTGCTGGAGTAATTCCCTCCAGAAAATAATGGGTTTGGGGAGCGCCTGACAAAGGGACTCCCACAGACAAAAGGATGCATTTATACATTTCAGGAAAGGAGGAGAAAAGATAGTCAAGGTGCATAGGTAATTATGCATACTATTGCCTATGCATGGGTAATAGATGACATAAGCATAAATAATTAGCAAACCTCAAATTACTTCCCCATCCACTGTAATTATCCTCAAGAGTTATTGTCTTAATAAAAAGAAATATATCAGTTATGTTCATGTAGCTTGTAGCAGTTTTGATAAAGCATACTGCAAAGAGGATTTCAAGTTTGCCTTAACTAAGACACATTCTAGGTTTCTATCTTGCTCACACGCTCCCATTCCTACATTCCTCCCAAAACATGCTTTCCTCACAACTGTTAAGTATCTATTGGCCTTCAATGGTTGGTAAGTTATTGACCAGCCCTTAATTCGTCTGCCTGGTAGTTCCCTGTACACTGAAGCTATATGACAAGACCCAGAAGCACTACCAGGTTTGAGAAGTCTCTGGACAAAGCTATTTCTCAGGGCTGCTTGCCCATTGCCCTGACTACCTCACCCGTGACCTGCTTTTATTTAATGATGGTAATAACAATGCTAAGGATGTAGGGTAATTTTTTTTCTGTGGAAAATATTTTAGTTTGGGAATGTTTGGCAAATTCCAATCAGAATGTTTTGCAGTGGGTTATCTTAAAAAAACAACGAGAAAGTAAAACTACACTGCTACTATTTTTGTATTACTTATTGCCCAATGGTCTTTTCAAATTTTAAATAAAAATATTTGTGATTTTCTGTAAATTTAATGTTCAAATTTCATAAAGCAGCTACATTTGATTTCCCCCCCGACATCAAACAATTTGGCCCTAGTATCTATGAAGACTATGACTAATAAGACAAATATGCTAATTGAATCATACTCATTGGCCAAATTTTCTAGAAAATCCACATCTCTAGTGCCAAAACTTCAACAGCTCTCTCTTCCTGCTGGCCATCCTACACTGTTAAAGCTGCTGGACAGTTTCCAAATGAAACTCTCCCCAGAGTGTGAGTAGCAGGTGGCAGAACCAATCAGATCTTGGTTTGGAGCATATGGTCAATGCAGATATTAGAAACAGCAAAATTTCTACTCTTTCCACCAACCACAAACCTAAATTGCAGTGTCTGATTGGTTCCACTGCCTCCTCCTTATAGACAGTCTAATCCAATTTTTTTATTATCTCCTTCTGTCTTAGTGTAATCCATAAACCATAGGTTTTTGCTTATTGTGTTTATGAACCCCAGCCAACTATGGCAGTTAACTACGATTCAGATAATCAGCACCTTGTGTGAATCATACTCTGCAAAATTTTAATTTAAAATGACACGTGGCCCCACACTATTAATAATTATTCTGCAGTTTCTTGGATCACAGTGTACATTCCTGTTAATTAAGAGCAAGGAAATTATTAGTATGCATTGTTGTTGTTAGTTGCGAAGTCGTGTCTGACCCATTGCGACCCATGGACAACGTTCCTCCAGGCCTTCCTGTCCTCCACCATCTTCTGGAGTCCATTTAAGCTCACGCCTACTGCTTCCGTGACTCCATCCAGCCACCTCATTCTCTGTCGTCCCCTTCTTCTATTGCCCTCAATTTTTCCCAGCATTAGGCTCTTCTCCAATGAGTCCTTCCTTCTCATTAGGTGCCCAAAGTACTTGAGTTTCAACTTCAGGATCTGGCCTTCTAAAGAGCAGTCAGGGTTGGTCTCCTCTCGGACTGACCGGTTTGATCGCCTTGCAATCCAGGGGACTCGCAGGACTCTTCTCCAGCATCATTAGTATGCATTACCGGTCTTATAATCTTTCCTTCTCTTTAACCCAATTGTCTAAAGTGCCTGAATGTACCTCAGATGAGAGCACAAGACCCTCCTGCACTAAGGCATCAAAGCCAAGGTCTCTTATTCTTGGAGCTACTACAGTATTTGTTGCCTGATTTCCAAGATTCAATTTGCACAGGGAGATGGGAAGGCCCCTCAAACCAGGGTAGTAATGTTCATGAACCAATAAGGTCCCCTATCCCAGTTTTCCCTAAGGGTCCTCCCAAAATGACTGCACCCTCAGTTGCTATTGGCTGCAGTCAATATGGCTTAGGATGCTAGCAGCTAACAAAACATCTGCAGGACATAGGCTTCCAACTGACAGTTTGAAATGGCTCTTTCTCAGGAGATACCTCTGTTCAGGTATGTTTGTTAAGTTGCCTTAAAAACTGTGGTACATATGGCAAATTGGCTGGAGAAAAATTCTGCTACCCTTTCTGTTCTTCACCAAAATGGAGCCAAAATCGATTTACCCACCTTCTTTCGGCCTCTGGTCTTCTGTTTCCTAACAACACCCTCCTCTTCTTCTTGACTCTTGACAGGTGTTTGCACTGGAGAGGGAAAGAAAGCAAATTGGGACCTTGCCACACAGGAGAATAAGGAAGGCCTGACTTCAAAAGCCTCCCCAACCTTCTCACCTTGTTGGAGGGGCAGTACGGTGGCCTGTTTTCGGGGTTTTGCAGCTTGGGGGAAAAGCACGCCTTTATTATTTTTCAGAGTCTGGGCTTCCATTTCTAACTGCTTTTCTTTAACTTTCTGGAAGAAGCAGGGGTAAAATAAGGGTTAATTTAAGGTGCAAGTGGGGAAAAGGAGGAAAGTGTCATGATGTCTTTGTAGAAAAGAAAACACTGTTATTGGACTAATAATAGTTCCACCGTGATCTTATGGCAGTCAGTCATCGCCTCTATTGCTATGAACCTCTCTCCCTTCCACTCACAAGTGACATAGAATTTACTTAACAGCATCTGCCATGAGCTTGGGTGTTGTGTATTAACTTAATTTCATAAGGTCTGTTATTAAAACAGTTAACCAAGTGGTTCAATTTAAATCCTCAACTGTCTGTCTATATACATTGCAAGCCTGTGTTTAGGCGGGAATGTATGCTTTAAAATCATTGGCTGCCGCCTAGTGGCGGTCCGTATAAATATGAGTCAAGCAGCTGCTAGAGCCGCTTCTGTGTGGATTGAATAAATGAGCTGTTACTTTCACTCCTGTGTCTTCAATGCCTCACCATTCTCACTACACAACATTGGGGTTACCTGCTCTATCCAAACCCTTCTCTTTTTAATTTCTCTCTTCACCATTCCATTCAAATGGAACTGGGCGGATGCATCACTGGTTCGTTGGCCTCCATTTTGCCCTTCCTCCAAGTCTCCACCCTATCAATCTTTTGCTTCTAAGTCAGGGGTGTCAAACTGTGGGTCATGCTGAAACCGCGCCCACCCAATTGCCGGCAATGGAAAAAAAAGTCGCAACATGTCAGGACACCCCTGTTCTAAGTGCTTGTCTCCTCTGTTGCTTATTGTGAACATGAATAGTAGCATACGGTTACTTTTTCTGAATGCGTAAACTGAATGCGTAAACTGAACTTAGTCCAGTATTAGGATCAACACAGCAGAAATCAGAATATTAATCAGTGTTATTTTTTTTTACCTCTCTGAAGTCTTAACATCTACCATTCCCACAACTCTGAATAAAAAAAAGAAGTGAGGATGGCAAAAGAGAGAAAAGAGCAATTATCAGATGAAATGCTTAGGGTGTCGTATTTTTCAGTCAAATGCATCCATTTGCGATTCGCATACAGGCTTTGAAGACAATACACATATTTCTTTTAAAAAGCTTCAACTCAGCAGAAATATTCCTATCTGTATAAAACAGAAAATAAGTACCGGTACCTTGGTTTAATGTGTTAAACTCTGCTCAATTTTCAGTATGGGCGAATTTTATTTTAAAAGACTAGACAAAGACCCAGCATTCTTCTAAAAATCTGACTGGTTAACGAGGACCATTTTTAAATTCAATTAATCTGAGCATCCAACTAAGTATTGCATTGCTATTACAGTTGTACCTTGGTATTCATCGTTCATTGGTTCCAAGAGGCGCGACGAGTACCAGATTTTTCCCATAAGGAATAATATAGTGAGTCACAAGGCAACCGACATCGACAAGTTCTAGCTTGTGCGTCGAGTACCAAATCCAATGAGTTTCAAAGCAATTGAGTACCAAGGTACCATTGTACTTAGTCACATCAAAGCAGAACAATGGAAACACAAAAGACAGACCTTCAGCTCACGGCGTGTCTCATCCAGGAGTTTCAGGACATTCAGCCGTTCCCTGCGTGGTGTGTTAAGGAAAGGTAACCTCTGGCTCCCATAGTTTCCTTTCTCTAGGGCCTCTAATCTTAGCAATCGTTCAGCCAAATTGGGGTCAAGATCCTCAAGAGGCAGCAAAGAACTAGCACAGAAAAAGACCAGCTCCATGTCAGATTGTGTCTCACTCCTCCAACACGCCAGCCAGAGCAACAATCCCTCCTCAGTTCAGCATTTTGGGAGGTGGCATGAAAGAACTGGACTGCACCCAAAGCTACCAAAATACCTGGTGACTCACCTGAGCGGCTTCTCTTCAGGTGTCCCTGGCTGTTCTTCTTGGAGGCAAGGCCTCTTGGCCTCAGGGCCTGCGTCTCTGAAGCCTGGACAAGGCCTCTTGCCATCTGTTGGAAGAAGAGGATTAGCTGTCTTTGCCCAACAGTCACGGTTTATGGAAAGACTTACAACCATTCATTCAATGGCTGTTCAAAGTTACAATGGCACCCAAAAAAGTGACTCATGACTGTTTTTCACACTTATGACTGTTGCAGCAACCCCCACGGTCCTGGGATCAAAATTTGGACACTTGGCAATTGGTTCATGTTTATGACGGTTGCAATACCCCAAAGTTATGCAATCGCCTTTTGACAAGCAAAGTCAATGGGGAAGCCAGATTCACTTAACAGTCATGTTTCTAACTTAGCAACTGCAGTGATTCACTTAACAACCGTGGCAGGAAAGTTTGTAAAATGGGGAGAAACCTCAAGAACCCTTGCTTAGCAACAGAAATTTTGGGCTCAACTGTGGTCGTAAGTCGAGGTCATTAACTGTATTCAGTCAATTCAGTCCCTGCCATCGTGTGATGGGCTGATCCACAAAACTAATCACCTAGGCTTGCTTCATACAATTCTGTAGGCTAAAACTGGCTGGCTTGTGACTGCGTGCATTGTCGAAACATAGCCATTTGTTTATCTGATAGAGAAATATATAGAAAGAAAATTCTCAAAACCCGTCTCTTCCCTATTGTTCAAGTCCAGTGGCCACTTTTAGGAAAAGAGACCTTGTATCTTCTCTTACATTATGATTTTGCCCTTCATGATGTATATTATCCATCATGTGTCAAAATAAAAAGAGCATTAAAATAGGCCAACCAACTGAATGTGTAAAAGACAACATCCTATTTTTTTTTTTGATGTGTTGCTAGGAAATTATGAGATCAGGTAGGATAGAAAATTTGCCAGGAAAGTGTTCTCAGCTGTAGTCTCCAATATAATATTCAGCAGGTAGTCCTCGACTTAACAACAGTTCATTTAATGTCTATGAAGATTCTCAGTCAAACAAGGAAGTCCAGTTGCCTCCTAAAAAAGCATTTTTGGGAGTCCATTTAATGATTGTTCAAAGTTACAATTGCAGTGAAAAAAAATGGCTTATGACTATTTCTCACAACCGTCGCAAAATCCCCACGGTGACATGATCAAAATTCAGATACTTGGCAACTGATTCATGATGGTTGCAATGTCAAGAGGGTCATGTGATCAACTTTTGCAACCTTCCGACACGCAAAGTCAATGGGGAAGCCACTTAACAACCATATTACTAAGTTCACAACTGCAGTGATTCAATTAACAACACTTAACAACTGTCACAAGAGAGGTTGTAAAATGGGGCAAAATTCACAATAGAAATTTTGGGCTCAATTGTGGTTGTGCATTGAGGACTACCAGTATTGTCCCATAAGCAACTTGGCTTATAGCAGGGGTCCTCAACCTGTGGGTCACGGCTCACTAATGGGCTGTGGCCTAATTGCAACTGGGCCGTGTGAGTGGCCGGCTGGGTGTGTGTGCACCTGCAAAAGAGGCCATCACCCAGCCCAAAAAAGAACAAACAGACCCAAGCCGTTCTCCACCAGCAATCAGCACCCAGATCAGCATAGATTAACTCCAAGGTCAACATCAGACCAACAATCAAGTAAGCAGTACCCCAATGAAGAAACTGCCACAGAGCCATTAGTAAACAGCCCAACCAAAGAATCCCTAAGACCGCCCCCACCCACGCAGACAGGCAAGACACCAGAATACAAAACGACAGCAAACAGCACTCCTTACTAGCACTGATGATGTTACCTAGTTTGGATAATGAAATGTCTGCAAGAAAGCTCAGAGAATATCAAGGAACCCTCAAATTAAAGCAGAGTCATCTGAGCCCCCTTTTTCACAGAGTCCTTAACAAGTGGAACTAATAACTCTCTTGTTATCAGGAAAGAATTGTTTGACTGCAGTGAGTAACAAATAAGAGCTTGGAATATGGCCTTCGTCAGTCATGTTTTGGAAGGCCCTTTCTTTCCACGATTTAGAAAATTTCTAAGGATATTTCTCTGTCACAGATGGAAAATCAGGCAATATTTTACTTGATGCCTGAAACTATAATTTGGTAGGTTGGCCCCTTAATTCCCCACCAACTCTTTATATGGAAAATCCCAGTCTTTACTTAGGAAGAAGCAAGCGGAACTCCGATTTTCTTGCCGTTCTGCTAGCTAGCAAAGTGCGCTACGTGGTACAGGATGACCTCGTCGGAATGTTCAGAAAAAGATTAGATACACATTTATTATGTAGATTAATGTTATTTGAGAAACGAAGATAACAGGAGAAATAAATTCCAGAGACCCCACAGTTTTTAACTTACCCCCATCTTTCAGGTAGCAATCTGCACAATACAGATTAAGACATTAGGAATAATACAGATTATTATTTCAAAGAGAAATCTTTGAAATAATTTTCAGATCTCAGGGAACCGTGGCATAAACATTACCAGAAAATGCGAAAACTTAACAATGCAAATATGCTTCTCACCCACACACACGGTCCGTGTTTTACAGCATTTACAACAACAGCAAATCAGCAGCCCAATGTGTGTGAAAGCATTCCACCACTGTGATTGCTACCGTTGTGTTGTGTACAAAGTTTAAAAAAAGACTTTTCCCCCCCTTCAATTACAACTTCCTGCAGAACTTCTAGTGACTCTCAATTCCAACTGAGAAATGCTACTCTAGAGTGTTAATTCCAAGACTGAAGAAAGATTCCCACCTCCCCAAAATGGAAGATATAATGAGGTCAGCTCTCCTCCCCTTTCCATGAACTCACCTGAGAGAGAACTTCGTGCTTCTGGTTGGTTGCTCAGAGTTTCAGTTTTCCCAGGCTTTGCTGGTTTCCTATTATCTATATAGACAGGTTTAGATTTGATTAACTTTTTTGCCCCGGAACCTTTTGAAACATTTTCTTTACTACATTAAGACTTGGTGTAAACCATTGTTTCTCAAACTTGGCAAGTTGAAGATATGTGGACTTCAGGCTCCCAGAATTCCCCAGCCAGCGTGGCTAGTCTAGACTTTTGGGAAAGGCAACCTTGGCTCTTTTATGACCCGTGGACTTCAACTCCCAGAATTCCTGAGCCAACAGGAATTCTGGGAGTTGAAGTCCACGAGTCCTAAAAGAGCCAAGGTTGCCTATCCCTGGTCTAGACTTTGGGAAAGAGTTCCAGAATGTAGGTGTCATGATGAAGAGGTCTGGTCTCCCACTCCCACCACTTGCCTAGCTTTTCTGGGTAGAGCAATTCACACCCATATTTTCTCATTTAATTTAATCATGGAAGGTTCAAGTGCTGAAGGTTACATAGCAGCCTTTTGTTGCTTGGTGGCTTCCAGAATTCCCAACTTTCCTCCAAAGCCCAGACTTCATAATTCCTGACTTACCGGTGTGGGGTAAGGCTTTCTGGGTGAAGGGTTTATTCACAACTTGTTTGGACTTTGCAGCAAAGTTGAGGCTTGTGAGGGTGTCAAAATAATACTTCTTCTCTGGAGCGATGTTTGCAATAATCAAGCTGTGGGCACTGCCTCCCAGAGAGTCCTAGAGGAGAGATTCCAGGGGAAATATCACTCCTTGATACCAACTCCTTCCCATCCCGGGGGGGGGGGGGGGAGGAGGAAGAAAGAGAACCCCAATTACCTGCAGCAGGCGGGTCAGCTTGCTGTCTCTATAGGGAACTCGAGGCAAACCCTGGTTAAGGGCATCAACCACCTTACTGAGCACAAAGAGGGAGCTGTTGATAGCTCCGCTCTCTTTCAGGCGTAGGCCTTTGTTGCCCGTTTTTCGATTGTCCTCGGAGCCGGCTAAGTCGATGAGGCACAGCTTCGCAGTCTGGTGAGAATATGTGGGCCAGTCCCGGATCTGGTTCACCAGAACCAGCAACACAGCATGACTGCGACTGGAGCGCTGGTTCAGCTGAGTCGACGCCACCGTTCGTTTTCTGCTTGCCGGCAGAAAATAGCTTTCAAAGTCTGCAAAGCTAGTGAGCTCTCTCTGGGTCAAGTCTGGAACCAGGATGTTGTGGTTACGATCCTCTCTGATGGGCAGGTCTCGGAGGGTGGGCTGAAGAAGGTCCAAAACCTGAGGAACGGAGGAAAAACCCTAGTTTGGATGGTGGGTGTGGAATTTTAACCCTCACTCCTTCTTTATATTTTCCCCAGATAAGCTAATACATTCCAGCAACAACGTTTTTCCAAAGGTGAGTAATCTGGGCATTGATTTTTGTTTTTAAAAAAACTGTTTCAGATCTTGCTTTTCAAATGACAGGATCCTGAATCAATTCTGGATTGGTTTCTTGTTTTTCTCTTAAGACACTAATTTCAGTCAAATGAGCCTTTTTCCTGCCTATTCTGCCTCAGGTCTAAGAGGCTTTTTTCTCCTTAACACTCCCTGTTGGATTGCTGTTGTTGCCATGAGAGCTGTCATCTTCCAAGCACTAGCCATTAATGCTAGGCTGGTGATAGCTGGCGCCCAACAGAATCCTGAGAGCTATAAATTCCCACACCTTTTTCTCTCTCGTCTTCACGTGTGTCAAGACGTAGGAAATCAGGAGCCAAGAGAGAATTCAAAAGCGCTACGAGATTATTTCTTGCTACCTATTCACAGGAATCTGATCTATTAACGGTCAAGGCAATTGGTGCCAGATAAGAATCAATGGACTTCAAGGGGGAGAGTTTAGATCGCTTAGTCGCTATCAAAGATCCTGCAGGAGAAGGGCAGTGTGGACAACCGTGGAATCTGGCAGGGTGAGAGCTGTGAACCACAAACACAAAGCTTTCGGTGTGTCCCTGCACAACAGATACAGTGCCCTTGCTGACCTTAATAGGGACATTAAGGAGACAGGTAAAGGTATTTGTGATGATAACTCAAATAAGCAGGGGATCTTGGTCCAAGATGAAGAACTTGTTTTCGACAGGGAGAAGGGCGAATCAGGTATTACACATCAGTCATGCAAGAACAGAAAGGCACCCAAAAAGAGAAGCCACCTTCTGGTTGGTGATTCAATTATAAGGGATGTAAATTTAGGAAAGGACACAGAGGTTTTGAAAGAAGTCAGGTGTCTTCCAGGTGCTACTGCCAGTAGGGACAATAAGCGTATTTGTAAAATAATCAAGAATGCCAGCAAGGACTGTGATGTGGAGGCTATTGTACATCTTGGCACTAACGATCTGTCCCAAAAAGATGTACTCTCTGTGCAGAATGATTTCCAGAGCCTGGGGCAGGAACTTAGCAGAATAGGCTGTAGGCTATGATGATAGCGACTCCAAATTGATGTGTTCAATCCCACCTGGTCATCTCCTACACATGTCCTCTATTGTCCTTACCCTTTCCCCTCTTATACTCTCGGTAGCTATTAGCTCTCTTTGGTTAAGCTCTCCCCCCCCCCCCATTTCTCCTTTGCAAGTGCTTCCTTGCCATCTGCTCCTTCCCAATAATCATGCCTCAGTTCTTCATCAATCTTTAGAACTGAAATAATTCCAGCCAGGGGCCGTGTAGAATATTGGAGGGAGGGGGGTGTCATCAGAGCAGAGTTGGAACAGCAGGGGGTGGTGAGGGACAAATGTTGCACTACCAATCAACCTGCCAATCTCCTAGGCCAGGGTAGACAGCTTGTAGTATTAAAGCTTCATGGTCCACTTCAGTGTTGTTCAACCTCAGCAACTTTAAGTTGGCTGAGGAATTCTGGGAACTGAAGTCCACACAGCTTAAAGTTGCTGAGGTTGAGCAACACTGGTCTGCTTTAATTAGCTTAACTTCAAAATCTCCCTTCAAGAAATTAAGCTGATAAGAGGTATCTATTATTGTTCTTATGATTCTCTGAGGTTGACTGTTTTCATGCAGACATGTTGTATGGGTATGGCCAGCATCGTCAATATACTGAGGGAGCTGGACAGTTTCTAAATGTGAAAACAGTACACATATTCTCTTCCATGAGAGAGATCTATCCCTAGGGGTGCAGTAGCTCAGTAGCTTAAATATGCTGGATTTGCCAACCAGAAAAGTTCGGCTCTTTGTACTCCAGCAGTTCAAGCCCCAGCACCATGAGATGGAATGAGCTCCTGTCACTCGCCTCAGCTTCTGCCAACCTAGCACTTCGAAAGCATGCAAGATGCAAACAGACAAATAAATAAATACAAGTACCACTCCTGTGGGGAAGCTAATGGCGTTTTGTGCGGCAGAAATAAACCAACCAGCCTGGTCTTGCCCAAATGCAAGGCGAAATCAGTGGAGAAAAAGAGCCGGATGAGGCCAACATTAGCCACTCGGTGTGTGGAGCTAGTTTGCTCCCTGCGGTGCACTCTGGATAATGAACTAAACAAACTAGCAATCTTAGGCAGCCAAACTACTCTGTAATAACATGGTAGACTCCCCAGCTCTTAATGTACAAGCATGCTAAATAAATAAATGCCCCTAAGTTTACTTCTTGGGAGAGAGAGGGACAGGCAAAGTTATCAGAAAAGAATGGAAATGCGAGGAATATAAAAAATTGTGTCTGAATGTCTAACTCTACTCAGTCTGAGCTCTGACTCCACCTGCCTCTTGCTTTAGTTCCCCCCATCATGTGTTCAAATAACCTTGAATGAAAGTAGGAATACTGCATCCAGTTTTAGTCACCACGAAAAGATGCTGAGACTCTAGAAAGAGTACAGAGAAGAGCAACAAAGATGATTAGGGGACTGGAGGCTAAAACATATAAGGAAAGGCTGCTGGAATTGGGTATGTCTAGTTTAACAAAGAGAAGGACGAGGGGGGACATGATAGCAGTGTTCCAATATCTCAGGGGCTGCCACAAAGAAGAGGGAGTCAAGCTATTCTCCAAGGCACCTGAAGGCAGGATAAGAAGCAACGGATGGAAACTAACCAAAGAGAGAAGCAACCTAGAACTAAGGAGAAACTTCCTGACAGTTAGAACAATTAATCAGTGGAACAACCTGCCTCCAGAAGCGGTGAATGCTCCAACACTGGAAGTTTTTAAGAAGAAACTGGACAGCCATTTGTCCAAAATGGTATAGGGTTTCCTGCCTGAGCAGGGGGTTGGACTAGATGACCTCCAAGGTCCCTTCCAACTTTATCATTATTATTATTATTAAAAGATTGTCCAGAACTTCCTATACCAGTGACGGTGAACCTTTTGGAGAACGAGTGCCCAAACTGCAACCCCAAACCCACTTATTTGTCACCGGGTGCCAGGTGGGTGTGGCCCACTGGGTGGGCGTGACTGTGGTGGTCATGGCAGACTGGGTGGGTGTGGCCAAGGTGGGCGTGATCACCTTGATGTTGCTTGTGGGGAGGGACGCATGTGGGGACAGATCCAGGGGGTCTCTGGCAGGTGGGGCGGTGGGCAGGAGGCTCGTCCTACGGGGTGAGACGAGGCAAGGCGAGGCGGGGGTGCCATTGTCTCAGGGCAAGGCGAGGCAGGGGTGACTGCTGCCTGAAGCCATCGGCCCCCACACACAGAGGCCAGCGAGCGCATGGGTGTAGGGATGCATTAGGCCACGTGGGACCTTGGCGAGTTAGCGGGCGGCTGGTTGAAGAGGGACGGTTGCCATCTCCGGGGCATGGCACATGCGCCCAGAGAGGGCTCTGAGTGCCACCTCTGGCACACGTGCCATAGGTTCGCCACCACTGTCCTATACCAATCAGTAAACAAGTAGTATGTTTACATCCAACACCCTTTCCATTAAAAGCCGCGATAAATCCTAAAGCAGCATGGGGAAAAAAAGAAAATAAAGTTCACGTGCGCATCTATCATTTGCCATGATCAGTTGGCCATGCTCGCTCCAACAGATCTGGCTTTTTATTCGCATTATGCTTTAAATCCCCTTCTTCCCAGAAAAATCCTGTCATTCTGCGCCATTATACTTACCGGGCTAGATTTCCCCTTTGTACAATTGTGTAAACCACGCATTTTTACCTTTTCTTGATAGATTTCCAGATAGGACATAGAGACAGAGTATTTGCATTTATCTTCTGAAGCATCCCTTGTCATCTGCAAGACGTCTCGAACAGCTCGAGGGATCACCCCTGGGTGATCTGGATTTCCCAGCATGGTGTATGTCTTGCCTGTGATTCAGCAGGAGACAAGATGAGAACGGTATAGCATCGTCATATCGCTTTAGCCCAGTTCTTTCCCCCAGATGACCCCAACCCCTCTGGGTTCATTTGGTTTCTTTGCAGCACTGCCTTATAGTCACCTGCTCCAGTTGGTCCATAAGCCAATATGCTAGCATTCTGCCCCATCAGCAGATGGTGCAAGACAGGCTTGACTGACCCCATGTAGACATCATGTTGGGTGGCTGCCTCGCCATAAAACGCATCAAACCTGGTGAAGAGCGTATGGATGTGAAAGGAATGCAGGACAGAAGCTTATTGGTTTCTCTGAATTTTTTTCTTTAGCAGTCTTGAGAAATGGAACAGCAAATCCAGATACACAAAGTTTGTTTTAATACAAAAGTATATGACCTGTTTACAATTCCCACATTCCTTTGCAATTAGATATGCTTGCTGAAGCTTAGTGAAAGGCACCAAATTACCCGTCTTCATATATCCACCGGTATCAAAATATCTCACGACCGTGTATCTGTTCTTATGGCTCTTGGACTCCTTTCTCCTGAAGCTTTGAACCACAACAGACTGTTGGCATTTTACTATTTATATCCTGGCTTTATTTTTTGTAAAAAACAAACAAACAAACAACTCAAGGCAGTGAGCATACTCCTTGAGTGTGGACGTCTTCCTTTTATTTTCCCCACAACAATCCTGGGTGATGGGTTGAGCTGAGAATGACCCAAAGTCACCCAACCAGATTTAATTTCTAAGGCAGAACTCAACATCTCCTTGTATTTTAACCACTAGCTCCAACTGACTCTTGTCCATACAATGAATCCCAGCAGTTCATTCCCATAATACCTGCATGTAAAGAGACTAATTATAAAAAGTAGCATGACCCAGAAGAAAAAGCATCTGTCATTGCTCATTGCAGCATAGTTCAACCCTGTGGAAAATTAGGCACACTAAGAGTCATTCAAATCTATTGAATCTCCTACCCAACTTACTTGTATTTCATAGTCTCCATCTCATTTCTCCAATTGAGAATTTCCAAGGAACGAGAGTCCACACCTCGTACACATGGAGCTTCTTGACCTTGTCCAGTTCCCACACCTGGGCGCAGTCGTACACAAACCTGTACTTGCTCAGAGACATTATTAGAGCGGCGGAAGTCAGCCCGACTTAATCGCTGATGAGTTGTCATGAATACCTGTGGGGGAAAAAATAGAGGATTGAACAAATGTATTCGCGCAGGGGCCCCCAACCTTTCTGGGTTGGTGGGAGGCACCAACAGGGCCGTGCGTGCATAATGCAAATGGGGCCACGAGTGCCCACCCGATGCTCGGGCGATGCTAGTGCCTACGCAATGCCGCAATGCTAGCGCAAATGGAGATGTTGCGCTTGCAGCAACGCTAGCGCCGGCATGACGCCACGATGCCAGCACAAGTAGGGGAGGTGAGCTCATGGCAATGCTAGCGCCTGCCCAACGCTCATGGCATTGCTAGGGCTTGTATGACGCCATGACGCTAGCATGAGGGGGTGCAAGCATGCACACGCGCATGCACTGGCCAGCCACTCATGCGACCCAGTGGCCAACAGCTCATGGCCCAGTAATGGGCCGCACACCACAGGTTGGTGACTCCTGTATTAGCCAATGCATATACTACAATATCCAATGGAGGACCAACAAAAGGCAATGGCATCATTTTCTTTAAAGTGTTACATTTTCCTAGGTTTGGCTTACGGTCACTCACTCATACACTCATAGCCCTGGAGAACTGTCACACTCAAATCACCTTCAACTCAATACTGAGGCACAACTGGTTCTTTAGAATACACAGAGACAATGCATTTAAAATAACAGCAAACCTTACTGATTATAATGCATGTCCATTTCCTCTTTCATACATGCACACATACTCATCCACACTTACGTCCTCAGCTAGGCTGGCAGGCACTACCCAGAGGGACGGAAGCCACCAAATCTGGGTCCAAAGATGATTCAAAAAGTGGGCGGACTTCAGGACCCCTTTTATCCCCCAAAGTCCTTGCTTTGTTATGGGTAACTGTTGATAGAACTTGGGGAGGGTTTTCCCATGTGCTCAGGCTGAACTTCTTTTGTCTGATTCGGGATACCTTTTTTCCTTTGTTTCCATAACAACTTGGTTCCTTCTTAAGTACTTCCTCTGAGGGAGCTTTTCCTGACTTTTGTCCACCCTGCTTGCTTACCATCATCATTACGTGTGGCAGCTTCAGTCTACCTTACAAAAGCCTAAACAACTTTTAAAGTTTAAAATCTAAACTTCCACTTCTGAAAACAACTGAAGATATTCTTTTTTATCCTGACATTTATTGGATAATTATATTAAAACCAGACTGTCTTTTCACTCTCCTATTCTTTCCTTAGGAAAAAAAAACCCACCAGTATTTAACTTATGTTTTATTATGATCATTTTGTTAGAAACGTGATTAAAATGTCTTGCCAGTCTTCCAGGACCCTCAGGACACTAACAAAATTGGATTGGTAAGAAAAGAGTTTATTCTGCAGAAAATAGAAAAAGCAGTTTACAAAGTGCGGTGAATCTCTGAAACTTCAACAGGAATTTCTAAAACAGAGACCACACACAAACATTCAAATTCACAGCATTATATATACTTCTATAGCGACGCCCCACTCCCCTCCCCTTCAGTCCCATTTGAAAGGACTTCAGAGGGCACAATCTTGTGCGAGATGCCTAACTAGAATACATCACCCCTCCCCGATTACATCCGTTTCAAAACTTCCCCTGGCCACCCTTTTGTCTTGTTAAGTCCATCGTGTGAAAAGGGGAGAGCGGATATAGAAGCAATAAACAAAGCAAATGGAGGAAGCTCCCTCCCCACAACCGTTTTATTTTTAAACTTGTGTTGTTCACAATTTTAAGGCATCCCTCCCCCACAACTATCTTTGAAGAATCACAGAAATAAAATGCTATTGTTCATAGGCATTAACCTATTCAGAATTTAACATCAATACTGTAAGTAATGTTTTATTATAGTTTGATCGAAAAAAACGTCTTTTTGAAATAATTAATTGGAATTACTCTTGAACTTACAACCATACATTTTCATAAAAGAAGACCATGCTATGGGAAGAGGTATCAAGGGTAATCAAGGGAAGGGAAACATGCATTTAGTAAAAATTGATGGGCGACCAATCTTGCATCAAGCTGCTTTTTGAACTTAAGGAACTGCCTTCATTTTGGATGCAAAAACCTCTCTGATGTCGGGTCGGAGTCCTATTTTGCAAGGAGGCTTGGATTTCTTTCTTAAGTAATTAAAATGGGATTTACTTCCAAATATCAGTTTCAAAAAAAAAGTCTCATCCACACATTGCATTCACTCTTACCACCAATTCCAAACCGCTTCAGCCCGTGCAAAGTCGGATCCCAATCTCCGTTTGTATTTGGCGCCCGCCCCGCAATAGGAAGCAGACCAATGGGAGAAAAGAAAGAAAACAACCATTTGCCTCTGCGCGTGCGCATCGCTCTCTCAAGTGTGACGAGCCCTAGAGCAGTGTGAAGGGGGGGGGTAAACACAGAACGGAAATGTGCGCACGCGCCTTGGAACAAAAGGGCGTTTGGAGAAGATACGCGTGCGCAGTAAAACATGATGAATTCGGAACGGAAGTGCTACGTAGGGCGTGGGAGGGATGTCACGTAAAATCGATCTTAACACGGTAACGCCTTCTATTTGACATTGAACCGATTTTCCAGAGATACCGTACTTATTTTTTTTGTATCGCGATTAGAAACATTACAGAACGAGTCTCTCTTGTATTGGTGCATTATTTTTACCATACAAACGGTTCAAGAGCTGGAGCAGCGTCTTTTGCATTTTTGTTTATAATATATATTTTTAAACGTCCAGGCTTTTTTTGGTCACTCGTAATACGTTTTTACCTCTCATTTTGTAAATAACATTTGAAATTTTAAAAATGGTTGTAGGGAGGCTGGGCATAATCCGATTATATATATAAAAAAAAAGAGGATAGCGCATGCGCAATGCACCGCCAAAGCGAGTCGCGCTCATGCCTTTTTTTCTAACGCTCAGAGGGGGCGGGGCTGGATTCGTCGCCCCAAACTGCGATCGATTGTGCTGGGCTCGACTTTTGCAGTCTCGCTAGAGGGGAAGTGGGGGTGGGGAAGAGCGCTCGCGAGCTCCGATGCGTGGATGGGCAGTGGAGTGGCCGAATCATTTGCTCGGGGCTTAGCGCCGCCCCTTGGAACTGGGGATGTAGTGCCTCTGAGCATATATAGAATGCTATTTCTGAAAAAGACAATGTGTGCCTTTAGGTTGGTGAAGCTCGACGCTCTCTTATTGGCGTAAGTCTAAATCCGAGGCATCTGATTTTTGCAAAGCAGTTAAATACTTTGGTTCCGTGAGTATCTCACTTACAATCCCGCACTTGAACGCAGGATTGCAGCTCTAAGACTGCGCTTAACTCCTGTACCGAAATCCTTAACTTCGTTTGACTCATTCTCACGGTTAACGTTTGGAGATTTGGGGTAGGTCTTCAGAAAATCATGGCTCCAGACAGAGTCTTCTTCCCCCACCCCCCGAAAGATATGAATATGGTCTAGTTTATGGCATTGGTGTGAAAACCTGATTAGTTTTGGCTACTGATTATTTGTTCACTTCCATTAAATTATAACTATCAGAAAATACAGATAGTCCTCGACTTATGATCACAATTGAGCCCAAAATTTCTGTTGCCCCACTGATAGGATAGTACTAGTACATGAGAACAGAATTAATCCATATTTGTCCAGAATATCACTATCCCAAATCAAATAAGCTCTTTTTCATTCATATTTCCTGTACACTTTTCAAAATATTTTTAATTAGAATGTGACAGTTCAGATAGTCCTTGACTTATGACCACAATTGAGCCCCAAAATTCTGTTTTGCCGCAATTTACGACCTTTCTTGCCACAGTTAAGTGAATCACTGCAGTTGTTAAGTTAGTGACATGGTTGTTAAATGAATCCAGCTTCCCGGTTGACTTTGTCAGAAGGTTGCAAAAGGGGATCATCTGATCTCGGGATACTGCAACTGTCATAAATATGAGTCAATTGCCAAGCATCTGAATTTTAATCACGTGACCATGGGGATGCTGCAATGGCCGTGTGAAAAACAATAATAAGTCACTTTTTTCAGTGCTGTTGTAACTTTGAACGGTCACTAAATGAACTGTTGTAAGTCGAGGACTACCTCTATTTGTACAGAGTTTCAACGGGCAACATTTTGTGTATGTTTTCTAGTTATTTTTTATTAGATTTTTATCCTGTCTTTATTATTTTATAAGTAACTCAAGGTGGCGATCATACCTCCTTCCTCCTCTTATTTTCCCTACAACAACAAGCCTGTGAGATAGATTGGGCTGTGTGTGTGACTGGCCCAAAGTCACTCAGCTGACTTTCTTGACTAAAGCAGGACTAGAACTCATGGTCTTCTGGTGTCTAGCCTTTAATCACTACACCAAACTGGCTGTATTGTTACACCAACTCTAGTGAATTGTTATATTAGTATTGCCCATAATTACAAATAAGAGACCTGAAGTAAAGAAAACTTGGTTTGAGACCCAGAGAACTCATGTTTCATCCATTAAATTCATATATCTATACTGCCTTCTTCAAACTTGGGCCAGGTAATTAATTTTGGAATAATCAGACTATGTATACTAATTTAAAAGCAATCCACCTAAACATAAAGTTATACTATATACACCTATTTAGATTTCTGTAGGATTGTGGTGTTTGTCTCCTGCCACTCTTTAGCAACTGAATGTCCAAGATTGTAATTTCATCTGTAATACTTTTAAATACTTTTTGTAATAGTATGTATATTCTTCTAAATTATTATAGGCTTTCATCATGACTTCCATCTCTGGAAAAATCATTGGAATCAAAACCATCTTTGTATACTGCTTTTAATTCCCCTGGTGAAATGGCCTTTTAAAAAACCTTCTTGCCCATTCTTGCAATATCTTGGAGGCCTAATAAAAGATATTATTAAAACCTAACCAGAGTAAGTATGTTTTGCATGAGAAGTTGCTTTTTTATATAGTTAATTCCAAAAGCGTATAGCAAAAGTCAGTGTTCCAAATTACCTTGGCCCTTCCTTAAATCCATTTCTGACTTTTTAGATCAAAATCATATTTAGCTTTTTGCTGCTTATTTCAAAATTTTTAAGTTCTTAATCTTGTAATTAATTTGTTTGTTCAAAGCTGAAAATAAACCCATCCAGTGAAGACTTTTCAGATCCTGTTATTCCAAAGGTCTCTCTGATATCTTCCAAATAGTTAGCAGGGAATTTCTGAAAGTCGTTAGAAAGTGAGATTTGCAAACTGAGTATCCTTTGAAAGGCTTCACCATGGTTGTGAACAAGATGGCTAATTCCTTTGTCTCTCACTACTCAAACCCATGGAAGATTGCTGTCCCATGGTCTCCTCATGAAGAGCAATTGTCCGGAGCATATGTGGGTGATCTCTTGTCCTTTCCTTATCCAGAGAAGTTCCAAGGAACCCGTCTACTCACTGGTTCCTTGGGCTTTGCCATGGTCATTGGTGCTCCTTTCACAGAGCTGTCTTCAGTTCATCATACTTCTCCTAGAAGCCCTTCTCTTTTGCTGTTTTGGTAGAGGATCTGTTAGTGGCATAAATCTATTAGGGGTCAGTAGATGATAAAAATTCTGTTTATTGTGAACCGAAACTTTAGTGTCCAAAAGACCATCTAATCAGAAGATGTTTTTTCAATGGTAGGTATGTTGACAATCATAGCAGTTCAAACGACCATCTTGTCAACACCGGTACTCTCCAAATAATTGTGAAAGGATAAGTTGAATTCCACTGGGTTGACAAAAGCTTCCTTAGCGTTTGCCTCTAGCTATTTTAATATGGTTTCAAATAATCAGTCTTGGAATTTGTTTTACATCTTTTCTTTGGGGAATTCAGTATGTTTTTCCCTGGGTGACCCGATCTTTTCTAGCAACCTTGTGAACTAGATTGGTTGAATTACAGGGAGAGATCCCAGCTTGATTTGTGTCTCAACAGTATATTTTGAACCCAGGGGTGGCTAAATGGTTAAGACACGGGCCTGTCGGCTGGAAAGCCGGCAGTCCAGGTTGCAGAGCCACATACCATATGACGGGATGAGTTCCCATTCTCGCCCCAGTTCCTGCCAACCTAGTAGTTCGTAACCATGCAAATGCGAGTAGATAAATAGGTACCACTTGGGTGGGAAGGTAACAGTGCTCCGTGTTGTCATGTTGGTCACATGACCACGGAAATGTCTTCTGACGGTGCTGGCTCAATGGCCTTGAAATGGAGATAAGCAATGCCCCTTATAGTCAGCAACTGGAGTAAAACCCGCAGGGACTCTTTACCTTGCTTTTCGATAATCCAACATTATTTTGTGCCTTTCTTCGTTTGGGGATAAATACTAGAATAGCTACAGGGTTTTATTTGCTAATGTTTAGCCAGTTATCTTAGAATCTTGACACCTCAGAGTTCACCGTATCTGTGCTTATCCTGTGGCCTCATCTTCTCTTTATTACAGCCATGGAAGAGGCCAACACTGTGGAGGAAGGGGAAGTGACCTCAGGGATGCAATCCTTGGCAGTGGAAGATGGGCCTGCTCCAGATTTAGCTTCTGCCACTGAGGAACAAGATGCTGCTGCCAGAGAAACAGAGGGGGAGTTATCAGGGAAGGATGATGAATCTGCTGAAGAGGACTGGTGTGTTCCCTGCAGCGATGAGGAGCTGGATTCTCCAGATAACTGGATGCCTGAACCCAAGGAGATCCGCCATTTATATGAGCTCATTGCTGAACACGGGACTCTGGAGATTCAGGCCGAAATCCTCCCTCGGCGCAACCCAACCCCAGAGCCTGACAGTGAAGATGAGGATAAATCTGAAGGACAATCTGAACACCAGGAAGAAGAGGAAGAGGAGAAGTGAGAAATGGGTTTTTGTATTTGGCTTAAATGGGGGGGGATCTAAGATTTGAGGTTATATTAAGTGGAGGAACGATAGGCTGAGATATTGCCAGGTTGATTCTTTTTTTCTCTGTTTGCTCCAGGCCTCATGTGCCTACTGAGTTCGACTTTGACGATGAGCCTTCCTCTCCCAAAAGCTCCTTGATTGATCGACGGAGAACTCCTGGTACGTAAAGAAGGCAATTGAGTTTCCATAAGAAGACAGAAGAGCATTGCCAGGCCAATGAATTATGGAATAGAGCATTCTGCCCCCAAGCTGGCCCACCACTTGCTTATGGGAAGCCAACGAGCTGGGTGTGGATGCAGTAGGACCTTCCCTCTTGTGTTACCTATTGCAAATAGCAATAGTACTTAGACTTATATACAGCT